GTGTGTGTGTGTGTGTGTGTGTGTGTGCGTGTGTGTGTGTGTGTGTGTGTGTGTGTGTGCGTGTGTGTGTGTGTGTCATCTTTTTGCTTACTCGTTTGTTGGACAGGTGGTATATGATGACGAATCAAATGTCCTCCCTACTCCTCTTCCCTCCTCTTCCCTTGTTCCTCCCTCGTCCGTCATCGTCATATTCCTTGTCCTCTCTACTCCTCTTCCCCCCTCTTCCCTCCTCTTCCCTCGTATGGACTGCGAGTGTCAACAACGGCGACAGGCGCTTGCTGGAAAGATGGACGGTACTGGTAAGGGCATATATGGGAAACTTTCCGCTGGTTCTCAACTGGTACAGGTACCGGTAGGGGCATATGAAACATGTTTGACGCCCAAACAACGCCAGGGGTTTTCTGGAAACATCATTGGTCGTCAGAGGGGCGCGACAAGGTAAGTTGGCCGTCAGAGGGGCACGCCGCAAATAAACGTAAACTTCAGGGGCATTTCGAAAATTTCCCAAAATCCAAACATCGTCACAAAGGACGCTGAGCCTGGTTCTTTTTTTTTTGTTTTTTTGTTTTTGGAAAGAGGCTGGTGACCTCACAATTCGAGCCTTGGTTCTCAGCCCGTGATGCTCCCCACAAACAGATCGGATTAAAAAAAAAAAAAAAAAAAAAAGGTTGTCTTATTCAACCATATTACTCCACGAACAGGCCTGGGCATTCTGCAAAGTTGGGCGGGTCAAAATTGATGAGGGCCGGGCCACCAGGGGGAGGGGTAGAGCGTAAATTTTTCCAACCTTGTCCGAGGGGTATAACGCAGATTTTTGTGAAAAAGAGCATTCAAGCCACCACAATCTTTTGGGGGCGTTTCACACAAATATCTCATCTTTGGGGGGTATGAATTTATTGATTTAATTGATATAAATATATTAAATATATAAAAGAGGGCTAATGTTGGGCCTTTTTTTTTCTTTTTCTTTTTTTTCTTTGCCCTTCAAGTCGCCCTGACGCAGAGGTGGGGGGTGAATAAAAAATTGCCCTGAGGAAGAAACATGTTCTGTTTGACTCCAGTCGAACGGCCGGGAGGCGGGTAGAGGGGATACTCACACCAAGTCTGCGGATACGTCGGACTCCGCCTTGCGCTGTTTTATACGTCCACTTTGCCCCCTATTATCATAATTACGGTCAGATTCATCCAGGAACGGTCAGATTCTCTAGGAAAGTGCGTGCGTGCTCCTGAGGGTGGTGGATATCGTAGTAGCCAAATATCCGAATAGTCCGGCTGAGGGGTCTTATTTGTTGCAGGGGGGGGGGGGGGGGGGTTCTTGTCAAGTCAAGAAGGGGTGTCGAGGAGGAGGCAAGACGAAAGGGAATCGAGGAGAGTGAATGAACGACGGGGCCACCGAATCGTTGCAGTGCGCGCAACGTGGGCCTCGAGGCATCGAGCCTGGGTCCGGCCCGTCTGCCTTTTTTTGTCGGTTTCGTGCAGACTCTATCTCGCGCGATCTGCCCCCTGCTCTCACCCCCGGCTCGTCCTCCTATCCGGAGCCGGCGCCAAATACACAACCGAGATAAGGATAGATATGGCAGTCACGGGCGCCTTGAGGATCCCGGGGTTCACGCAGGTGGGGGCCTCCAAGCCATTCTTCGGGCGAGATGTCGGTGGGGAGAGCTCGGTGAAGCTCCCATCACCAGATCTCACGACGACGACGACCAGCACAACCGCGGCGACTACGTCGACGAAGACGCAGCAGCTGGCAAGCTGGCCGAGCGGGAGAAGCGAGGAAAGGTGTGGCTGTCCGCGAGCCACGTGTGCGGAACTGCAAGGTTCGTCGTCACCGCACGCCGGAGGGATTCCTTCGAGAGAGCACGACCGGCTGGCCTGTCTCTCGTCGACGTCCGCCTCCTCCTCCTCGCCTTCCCCCTCCTCCTCCTCCTCCTCCTCCTACTCTCCTCAGTCCTCCTCGGCAACATCGTCCAGGTCCCCTCGCTCGCGCAAGCCCGTCGTCTCGCTGGTCTCGACGAAGCGCTCCTCAGATCGGCTCAATGCTCTCGCCAGCTTCCAAGCGGGCTTAACGTCGGTCAGCGTCGCAGGTCCATCGCCCCGATCGGGAACATCGCCGGCCAAGAAGACCACGCCGACGACGCCGACGACGACCACAGGGAGAGCTACAGCTAGTTTCTCTTCATCGACTTTGTCCGCAAGCGCTGCGGGCCTGGTAGATAAGGCCTCGCTGCTCTGGAAGCAGAGGCAGAGGGATGGCCAAGAGGATCAGGGGGGCAATGAGTGCACCGGCGTCGGGATCGGCGACGGCCGGCACGTGGCGAGCTCCGGCTTCGCCACGTTCGCTGGGTTTGCAGCACTTCCCGCCGCGCCGGATTCGCTGCTGTCCACAGCCGAGTCGCTTGTTGCAAGGTCGTGGGAGCGGTCGTTGCTGGAAAGCCAGTGGGAGCTGAGCATGGCTGCAGAGCGTGCTATGCCTTTCTCCGATCATGCGGATGGCGATGGCGACGGGATGGCGTCAAGGGGGAGGCAGAGGAGGGATGAATGCGAGAAAGAGGGAGGGGTGTCTCCGACGGAGAAGGAAGAGGAGGAGGAGAGAATGGGGAGGAGAATGGCGGAGGCAAGGGCGCCGCAGGAGAGGGAGGGGGAGATGGACAGGGAACGGGTGGGCGAGGACGAGGGAGAAGAAGGACGTAGGAGGAGGAGGAGGAGGAAGACGGAGCTGACACCGCCTCCGAGCCTTGAGGCGCAAGTGTGCAGGGTCGTGGTGAAAACCCGGCGCAAGTGCCGGGAGGTGTCATCCGCCCGAAGACGGCGACTGGACGCTAAGCGAAAGCAGAAGGACGCTAGCTCCGCTGCCATCGCGGAAGCCACTCTTCTCCTCACGGGCAAACCCCTCGCCTCTATCTTCGACAAAGGCAGAGGCTTGGCCAAAGCCCAATTCTTATCCATGGAGAAGACTGCAGCTGGCTGTGTCGCCTCCACTCCCAAGGCTTCCAAGTACGGAAAGATGCGTCTCTTGACCAAAGAAGAGGAGGTGAGCCTCTCCAAGATGATGCAGGAAGGACTGTCCATGTTGGCCGCCCGAAACAGGTGTGTGTGTGTGTGTGTGTGTGTGTGTGTGTGTGTGTGTGTGTGTGTGTGTGTGTGCGCGCGCGCGCGCGTGTGTGTGCGTGTGTGCGTGTGTGGGTGTGTGTGCGTGTGTTGTGTGTGCGCGTCTGTGTGTGTGCGTGTGTGTGTGTGTGTGTGCGTGTGTGCGTGTGTGTCCACGCGCGTGCGCCGGGGGGCAGGACGGAGGGGAAAGGGGAAATGCAGTATCATTCCCACGAAGATATAACATGTGCGCGTGTGTGCGCGCGCGTGTGTGAATGCAGTATGATTGTCAATAAGATATCATGCGTGCTTGTGTGCGCGTGTGTGAATGCAGTATGATTGTCAATAAGATATCATGTGTGTGTGTGTGTGTGTGGTAACGAACCATGGAAAAGTTCAAAAAACGCCAAGATGACTAGATTGCTTGTGGAATCCAATCAAATGCATATGCCATTGGGAGTTACTCTCAGATCCCTGGTAATGAACCGTGGTCGTGATTAAAAGAAAGAAAAGAAAAAGAAGAGAGAGTGAAATGTGAATCTGAACCAACCAGCCTAACTCCGTTGGTATACCCATGGACTGTTGTTTCGAATCCAGATGCAACCGCGATGAACAGAATCAAAGAAAATTCTGAGTTACCGGGGGAATTACCTGGGGCAGGTCAGCTCATTGTTGACATCTACAAAAAAAAAAAAAGAAAAAAAAAAAGGGGATCTGTATTTTCGAACCCAATTAATGTAATAGAAATATAAGTTAAGTTATTTTTGCGTGCAAAAGCTTGATACCTTTTTTTTTTTTTTTTTTTTTTTTTTTTTTTTTTTGTAGCTAAGGGCCTGCGGTTCCTATGATCTTCGACTATATAATTGCACTTTGAGCGTTACATTTGGCTATAATGTGGATTGCATGGTGATTCCATCTCTACTACCTGCGGTGATAGGGAGGGAACCCATCGGCATTTCGATCAATTCTATGTGCATAGCCTTGGCCACTGCACTGGGGCCCGATATAAGTGAAGTTGGATTTTGTGAAAAAAAAACAAAACAAAAAAAATCCTACTTGGTAGAGCTTTGCTCTCATAGGTCTGTGACTTATCATTAAAAAAAAAAAAAAAAAAAAAAAAAAAACTTAAAAAAAAGAGGAAAGTGTAGTACTGTGAAAACTCGATAGGGTATCATGGGCTGGCACAGATCCGGCGGCTAGTACCGTCTTCATCCGAATAGAACGCCCGCCGGCGGTCATTATCGCCGAATCTAGTCGAAGACTGAAAGTTGCCCCTATATACAGCTATAATGACCGTGCGTTCTATTCGGGGGTGAAGACGGTAGCAGTGTCAGAGACAATGACAGGCTGGGAGAGGATGGAACAGGGGAGGGGGGGGAGTGAGGTGTCGGAGGGGGGTATGGATTTCACGTTATTTCCGGCCCTTCTTTTTTTTTTTTTTTTTTTTTTTTTTTTTTTCCCCCGGTTTTTT